CTCAGATGTGTCGTACGGGGAACGGGCCCCTCTTGTCATGCCGTAAGCGGCACAGCTCTGAATCTGACCCATGTGTGTCAGCCGCAGCCTGGGGCCTGAGCCCAGGCGCTTCCGTACCGCACTATTTCAAATGCGCTGCGTGACGCCAGCGCTGCGGGACGATGTGCCCAACTCCCCTGTCAGTCAGCAGGCTCTCAACGCCTGCCAGCGTGGCTGCCACTCACGGAGGTCGTGGCCGGGACACAGAGGATGGCCGCACTTAGAAGTGCTGAGGTAGCAGTCACCATGGCTGTCTCACCTGCTGACGCAGCCGAGGCTGGCCTGCTGCGCTGTTCCCACCTTGGGCCAGTGTGCCATCACGCCGTGCCGAGACCCCTGCCCTGCCCCCTTGATATTGCCTTTATACGCGCAGGTAATTCGTTGTATCAATGAGATGCGGTGGAATAGATACGGGCGGGCAGGGATGCCCTACTTGCTTCGTGCACACTGCTGCATGCCACATTTGCCGTGTGGGTGTCTGCGGTGGTGGGCTCCTCCAGTCAGGGGCCTCTAGCGTTGGTCACTTGCAAGTCCTGCTTGCTGCTCTCCCACCCTCCCAAACCTTACAAACGCAATCAAAGTGATAAACAGATTTTACCTGGCTGAGCTCACGAGCCCTCGCTGGTGCGATTCTGCCAACGTCCACGGGGCAGTGGTCGCTGGCAGCATCCAACCAGTGCAACGGACGTCTAGCAGGGCTGGCCCTGCTGCAGCGCCGGTGCCATGCGGAGGCGCTGCCCATCCTGCTGCCGGCCCTGCACTGCTGCTCCAGCCCGCTCTCCGTTTCATGAGCGTCTACTTTGTGTCACGGGTATATAGGGCTGTAGAGCCCTTCCCGAGCACGCAAGCGACACCTATTGACTTATCACGTTGCACTTTGACCCCAGCTGCGCCTCGGCTACTGCGGGCTAACTCCCACGCCAGGCTACGCGCGCCCAACCCCCTCAATTAGGAGCTAAGGCATTATGTACCAACAACATGGTACAGGCTTGCAGGCTGTAGGGAGCCTCGTGCAGTGAGATATCACCCCAGCGTCCACTTTCACCACACCTCCTCATATGTATCATCTCTAGATATTACCTCTGGTTGCAAAGTGAATGTGCCAGGGATCCACTACATGAAAAAAATTCAAGCAGCAGCGCTAAAAATTTACATGCATGCTGTTTGCCAACAATTTGGCTTACCCACGCAAGCAGCATTCCAACACAACATTTGTCCAGGCATGGTTGCCATGCTCGCATCTGTGACTCCCGTGAATTGAATTGTATCCGGGGATGGTCCTTGTTTATCTCCAGAGGATGTTGAAAGGAGGTCCATTGTGCGCAAACCTACTGTTCCTGTCTGCCACATCTGCCAAACTCCTGTCGCATTGCGCGCGTAGTTCCCATTCATGACATTCAGTTTGAAATCCGATTTGTGCGTGAAACCGTTTCCGGGCGCAGGTTTCATTAGTACTCGAGCCATGCCATAAGTATGCCGTTGCGTCATATTGGTGCTTGTGTTATCAAGACGCTCTCGTTGGAAAATCAACAGTGCTCGCACACATGTGAAATGGACACTTGCTTTGTGAATGCGCACGAGTATGACTGAGTGGCTTGCATTGGCAAAGCTGGGCCCTGGGTTATGCAGGGATGGTTGGTTTGAAACACATCCATTTGAACACGTTGAATCGCATCCGTAAGTAGGTTGATTAGGATCTCCTGGAAGGGGTGCTGCAAGTGGTGCGCACGCCGTCTCGTTCAGGGCAAGTTGGTTGGGAACATGGGGTGCTTTGTACCGAAGATATACTTGTCCTTGAAATTGAGTGGGCACAGGTCCAGCAACAGGCATTGTGACGTTCTCTGTGACAAAGCGCCGAACTCCTGCCCAAGCATTTGTGAAGTTGAACGGGTTTGTCACATTCGCATCAGTAATTGTGGAGGTAAAATTCCAGTTCTTGATGACATCTACCTGCCATCCTGGAGAGGCAGGTCCCTGCAGAGGACACGGTGTGCGTGAAATCCATGGATTGCCAGGCAAACTCTATTATGAGGGTACGGCTTGCTGCTTACCAGAGCGCGTGTAGGCTCAAAGCTTGCTCCCCAGTTCTCCGGCGGGTAGTGAAGGTGAATGCCTCTTGCAGTCAACTGATCCCATCGGCCGCTCACCACGCCGCCCATGTTGCTTGGTGAATAGCCATGGGCATTGATTGTTTCATTGTTGAATGCATTGTTGGTTTCCAGCACTGCTTTTTGACAGCCAGTGCTGTTCCACGATCCTGCACCAAGCTTTGAACAATTCAGTTGAACTTCTAAAGAATAGTTGTAAGTCAATGAAACATTGGTAGTGTCCACATATGTCGGATATATCATGGAAATTGAGAATGCCCAGGGGTTGTCAGGATCTCGGCCTACATCATCAGGACCTGCATCCATTGCACTTAGTTTTGCTCGAGTATGATGGTTGTACTTCCCCGTGCATGTTGTACAATTGAAACTTGCTTGACACTGTGAGTCAGAGCAGGATGATCCATTATATACACCCTGTGAATCAATTTTCACAAGGGCAAATCCGCATGAACCGCAATGGGGACAGGTGGTAGCACTCCCGCCATTGGGATCCGAACATAAGGTTTTCGACAGCCCGTACCGAGGTTGTAGATTGCCCGCACCGATGTAAGATGCATAAGCTGTTCGAGATTTTCCTTGCACACATTCATCCCACACTCCTTGTGTCCTGTCAATGTCTCTTCCTGGCCCCATAAAAGCTTCAATGGCTGGCACGGCGGTGTAATTGCACCCTGTAGTGTTTGTGGCACAATAATCACCCCCAGTGTCAAAGACATCTGATCCTGGAACCAAGCCCAATGACAAGTCTTTAATATACTCTGTATGGCCGTTGACAATTCCATAACGTGGTCCAAAACTATTCATTCCAAACCCAGGATTGCCAAAGCGCAGCCCGATGCGACCAGGCACACCAAAGTAGTAAAATCCCTTGATCATCCAATCGGCAGCATTTGCACCACCATAGAAGTTGCTGGCGGATGCCCACGCAGACCTCTGTGCGCCTCCATCCTCTCCATACTGGGGCTGAGCAAATATATTGTCGCGTCGTCCCTGACAGTAGCGAGGATGCCCGTACATGCTTGAAGTCTGATACAATCTGATGTCTTTGAGCGCAGACACGTTTGCTGTTGCTATCAGCGTGCTGTTGATGCACTGTTGGCCGACTTCCTTGGGCGTCATCAACGATGACACACTCAGTCGAAGCCGAACAGAGCTACCGCCAAAGCCAAACACGTTCGGATTTGGTATCTGCGGCCTTGTAGTGCAGTTGCGCCGGACATCCACTCCAGCTGCTCCAGTCAATGTGATTATCAACACCAGCACTGCAGGCAGAGCCCGCATATTGGCGGCGACCCACGTGGCAACGTGTGTGTGATTGTCGCCAGCTTAGTGCTCTGATCACAGCCAAACTACTTAATAAAAAGTTGCCGAGCGAAGGAAGGTGCTCGAATTCTGATTGGATGACCGCAGACACGGAGTTTGAGGTGCCGATTGCTTGATTGTACGGTAGTAGTGCCAAAGATGACTTTCCAGGATAAGTCAGGAAAAGCTTTCATCGCCACCAGATCGCGCGAGTTGACTTGGACTGCTGCACGCACGCTGACGATGGGATGTGTGTCTTCATTACAGTCCCAACAATAAGATGTAAATGTGTTGTCATTAAAACAAACGTTGTCAATCTGTTTGATTGTCTCATCAGGTTGAGGCAACACCTCAGCAATGCTTTTGATACCGTAGTGGGCAGCCTGCCATGCGCGCCGCCAGCTGAGGCCGCCCGGCATCGCTGCGCTTTGGCGGTGTGCTGCCTGCTGCGCGTGTGTGCTCACGCAGCCACCAAAATGTGCGTTGTGTTACAGTGCTATCTTGACCCGGCACACGCCTGCCCCCATCGCCACCCAGAAAAAAGAGGGCGAGCAACTTGCTCAGGGAACGCAGGTTGAGGGCACTTGCCTTTGGCAGGGTTAATTGCAATTGAAGACAACTCAGGAATGATGTTCATTCCGCAGCGCTCGTTCCTGCCAGATGAACCACCAATGGTCCTCTGCACAATAAAGAAGGGTGGCAAAGAAGATGAAAGAGCAAGTGCAGAACAGCTCAAACAGACTTGCTGGAGGTGCAGCCCAGAAAGAGAGAGAAAAAGGCAAAAACACACAGGCTGTATGCACGCGCAAAGTTGGGGAGGGAAGACTGGCTTGCGGGGCCCAATGCCCCTGCGCCAGTCGCACACCAAGATGATGCAGAGGAGGCCGGTCCCCCTACGTCACTCCTGATGGTGAGCGTCTGTGCTTTTCCAGCAGTCCTCCTGTGCCATGCTTATTGGATCTACAAGCTTGACTGGTGGAATGCGGCGATGTCACCGCATGAATGTGCAGATGGAGTGTATGTAGCGACTTTTGACGGACGCACACAAGCAATGTGGTTTGCACGCACAGTTCAACAGGTGAGACGCCGCAGCACAGCACACCGCGCTCATTGCAGACCTACATAACGCACGCCAATCCGTATAGTCACATGCAGCTATGCTGGAAGTCGGAAATGCAATTTTTAGAACTTTGCATGATCAAAGCGATGGCAAACCTTGGCGTCCCCGAAGCAAAACGCACCCTATTTCAATGTCTCAACATGTAGAGAGAGAGAGAGACTACGCTGACGCCTCACGCGGCTAGAAGCCACGCTGCAAGCGGCGCCGCGTCGGGGTAAGGAGAGGGGGGTGTGTGGTGAGCCACACCCCCCACCATCGGGGGTCAAGGGGGGGCACTTTCACGTGACCCCGCGCCCTTGACGCAGCCTTGACGGTGGGCAGTTGCTGGCGTGCAGCAGCTGCTTTCGGCGGCCCCATACGGCTGTCATGTTCTCCACTGCGTGCAGGTTGAGTTGCTTGAAGAGAGCCTTGTGTTTCTCTTTCGGCACGCCTCAGTCGGCCATCTCCTTCATCATGTCCGCGTAGATTACGCCCCCCACACCCAGTGTAATCACGTGGAGGTGAACCTGCCGGCGGGCCTTCTGCAGTTCGGCTATGAGCGCGGCGTGCTGTGCCGTGGCTGCTGCACAATTGGCAATTGTGGGGTGCCGGTTGGTGTCCCTGCAGTACTTGATTTCCACAATGTGGATGTTCTCTGCCAGGCCCCTGCCTGCCGCCGGTACTTGCAGAATGATGTCCGGGACGCTGTATGTGCCCGCATTTTTCAGGCGCAGTCTCTGTGCAGGTGTCAGGAGGGAGCACTTGTCAAAGGTGCGGCGGTGCACCACCCCATCCTCTTTGTTGTTTTCTGCTGACCCCTGGTCTGCACACTGAATGCAGCCGCCCATCGCGCCAGCCTCTATCGCGGCAAGGAATATCTTCCCTGCGCGGTGGTGACGAGAAGTGTGCTGCGCGCTCAGCGCCAAACATGCCAGCATGGCGCGCCCAGCAGTCTCATCCGGGTCCCCGCACAGGCGGCAGGCCGTATGAGGAGTGTGAGGTGCCGGTGACCATCCAGATCCTGCAGCCTGTGTACCATTTTGTGAATTTGGTAAATGCAGCCCAAGCTGTCACTAGCGATGCAGCTGTGCCCTGC